CTACTGAAAAAAAGTAGCGCACCAGGTTTCACGGGCTAGTATTAAGTCGCTTCCCACTTCAAAATAATAGCTCCGTCATCACAAGAAAAACGCGAGGCTCAGAAAAAGCTGCATTGGGAAATTCCATTCAGCTTTGTGTTTTGCCATCTGCTCTCAAATCCATGCTTGGAATCTTTTTTTTTTGTTCTTTTTAAAAGTGAAACTGTCAGTCCGTGTGACGCAACTAATGAACGACACCAACTTTGTCCTGGAGCAGTATGCAGCAAGTATACCCAGCAAGAAATGAGACCGAGGGGTACCCCCCAAACATGTCCAATCCCTAGACACATTCCAGACTATTGTTACCCACTTACCTTACTGCATTTGGCAGCGAGGTATGAGACGGAGAGAAACCCCCCCTCCTTTGTGTTGGTCATTGTCTCGCAGGAATCTGGGGAATTCCTTTCAGACATCTTGGGGGGGATGTGTTAAGTAACAATAGTCTGGAATGTGTATAGGGATTGGACATGTTGGGGGGGGTACCCCTCCGTCTCATTTCTTGCTGGGTATACCTGGTGTAGTATCACTAAACAAGAAGCCCAATTGATATGGGAATCGCATGCATTATACCGCACGCTGAAACTTCGTGTCCCGCTAGTAAACAGTTATCGTTTCCAGTTATAGATAGTCATTTTCTTTTGTTTAGAGTCTCGTTATAAAATGAACATCCCATGGAAATTATTTCTAAAAGAAAATGCGATTCACATTTAAGAAAAATGCATCTGCTGTGAAGATAAATAAACCGTTTGTGGTGCTAAAAATCCTATTTTCTGAAGTAACATTAAATTTAGCAAAGTTTGTGAATTTACCTGAGCAAACGGTGACATTAGCCTCCCGGGGCTGTCTACCCACTCCCAAACCCCTGGCAACCGTTGTCTCGGCAGGCGGACCGTCTCGCAGCATCACGCACCCGTACGTACCGGTGGCCTCCACAGTATCAGCCGTTATGACGAAGGTGGTTCTAGGGAAGCACCTTGCCCTGCTGCAGATGCAATCGTAGTATCTCCGGGAACGGAGGGCTTGCACGGGCGTAAAATCACCAGTTCCATCGTCCATTACCTTGTACAGCCAGCCTTGGTAAACCCCGCAGTCTGGTTCCGTCATACCCGTACAATGCATCTGAACCTGACCCCCCAATGGTACAGTTGTGCTCATAGGGACAAGTGACAGGCCAGTTATGGCTGCAGACAGGGAGAAAACAACGCGACCATTGGTATTAAACCCTACGAAGAGGATATAAAGAAAATTGAAGGGTTGAGCTTTATAGGTATAAAGAATTTGACATATAGCTATGTGAGGGTTAGTCACCAGTTTCTAACTTGTTGCCCCCCGCAAAGCACATATTACTCACGAATATTATTCACGAAAGCCATGGCTGGCAAGCTTTGACATGCATAATTGGGTCCAGTGAGAAATGGCATTTAAGAAACAGCCTTTAGTTATTAAGTTGAAATAGTGCAATATGAAATCGACAAATTATTTTATTCATCCGACCACGGAAAGCTTGCGGGCTTAAAGGTCGGTTTATACTTTGCGCAAAAGCAAAATAAACTTTATTTTGTTACATAAGATCAAATATATGTATTCGCGCTGCGAATTCGCAAAAGTTTAACACATTTCAACTCAAGCGAAATTTCGCTGCAGATTTTTCGTTAAGTCAAATTCGCTTCGCTTTCGTAGGTCTATTCGTCAGAAGTATGAACCGGTCTTAATACGCAAGAGCTCGTAAGGTGAACGCAATCTGACACCAAAAAATTGTAACGCCGGACTATGAGCAAAACAAAAAAAAGTACATGTATACGACTCTTTCAGTAAGTCATTATGCTGTCGCAAAAAAAAAAAACTATGGAAGAAGTCAGTGAACATGAAATGTAAGTGAGTAAAAATTTTCGTTGAAATGAACGTAAACTGCATGTATCTTCCCCGCACGCCTCTAAAAAATGATTCATATTGCAACTACTCGGGACGTGTTTGTGTTAACAAACATGAGGTGATCGCTTGTGCTTTGATGACGTCACAGAACTTGTTGCATATCATATCATATCTCCTACATGTATATTAAACGATGAAGTCATGGAAGCAGCTCCGTGTAAACATACGCCACTGCGAAGCAAAAAGTCAATCACCATGTACATGTACTATTTATCAGCTGTAGCCCGCCAGGTTCAAAATACATACGTTCTCTGTTGGTAAACACATAAACCCGTACCAACCTGACGATTCGATCGACTGCACCACGCAGCCCAGCAACGCACAACTCAGCAGCAGCAGCATTCGCAGAGAGAACGTCTCCATATCAGGCTGAGTATCGCAGTTTCGTGTTGCTACAGTGAGCTGGGCCTTGGAAGGTTGGTTACCTCGACTTGCAAGTGCGAAGCAACAAACTTTAATACTTAGACGCCTCCTCTCAGGTTCTCTTTATTTCTAATTCTCTCGCCACCGTATGTCTGGGAATTAGACTTCATAACTAGTCGTTGAAAAGTCCTGTTTTAACCGTCCGTGAACTTTAGTCGAAATCTATTCGCGCGGCTCCAGTGAAAGATAAATGGAATTCGACTGCATTTCAATAGTCGATCACCAGCAAGCTTGGAACGAGGCAAAGTCCTCGTGCAAAGGTAGAAACACGTGTATCCCGGTGGATCACAGCGATGCTGCGAGTTGGCAACAAGTTTACTGTGACCTCTGATCTTCTGACCTGCCCCACCCTCCATGTCGATAGAAACAGGGACAGTCTCTTCCGCAGAAGGACCGCCACAGAGCGTTCGGTGATGATGTCACTGATGTTAACAAGGCTCAGAATTGAAAGTGGCTACTCTCCCTTTCCAATTCTCGCCAGGAAATAAATTAATCTGTTTTAGTATCGTCAGTTGATTTTCAAAACAATCCTCGTCTTTGCTGTAATGTGTTGCCTAAAAAGACAATATATTAAAACGTAAGAGGAATTAACAATGAACTGGGCCGATCTGTTTGTGTGTCCGCGTAACTTGCAGTTCAAACACTGCCAAGGGAAACTTCATGACGTCTTGTTTGACCACATTGCCATTTATTACAACTGATAACTTATTTTTATGAGACTTAGGGATTTGGGGGAAGGTTTCCCTGCTCTTTAGATTAACAGGGGAAATTGGTAAGATAAATAAGTGGGGGAAATAGACACATTAGACCATTATGGCTTTCCTTCAAAATAATATTATTAGAGTCATTTGCGGTCTCTTCATTTGTTAAATAACTTAATGATAAAAAATCCGGGTTTTTTTCACTTTTGATTAGTGTCAGCCACCCCTTTGCGTTACCGCGAAAAAAAGAACAGTTGCGCCCCCTTCCACCTGCCAAGCACTGACATGATGGCACACCCAACTCGTTGGCTGCAAACCAACTGGAACGTAACGGTTCTTGAGATGGGT